CGAGGTCGTCCGGCAAGGAATCGAACAAATCGGAGGTCGGAGGAGAAGAAGATTTGTTTCTTTTCCGGGAAAGGAGGTGGTGGTCGGCGGCGACATGGCGTGTCCTCTTGCGAAGTGGTTGGTCGGAAGAGAAGGTGTCTAGCGGAGGATAGCATAGGCCTGTTCGAGTTCTCATGGATGCCCTCGCCTTCAAGCCTTTGTGTGTTTCCGTTTGATGTCGACGACTCTGTTTCTCTCTCGATGGTAAAAGAGAAAAAGTAAAGGGCAGGCTTTATATAGTCGGAGGAAAGTATAACACTACCACCCCTTCAAATACAAAACGACACAATCAAACACAATGCTTAAGGATCCTAAAATATGATTCCCAGCTGTCAGTAACATGGAAATTTTATACTCTTTTTATTTCCTTTTTTATTATTATTCCTCTTTAAAAACCGAAATATATTGATATTTTGCAGCACCTGCACCTGCACCTGCACCCGCACCCGCACCCGCACCCTTATTTAACTCGCTTTAAAATCCATTTTAAAGATTAAAAAGTAAGTCATCGTGGAATTGGAATGAGTCAAACGTACTAGTAATTGTCCATTTAATTTTAAGGTGTTCATTTACAATTTAACACTCCGTTTCTTTTACGTGTTCCCGTGTCAACAAAAATATGTTAAATTGAGTCACCTTTTTCTTTTTTTTTTTGGAACTAATTATGTATATTCGCATAACTAATTTAACGCAAAAAAGAAAACTTCTCTCAATCCGAAAAAGTGGACTGAATTAAATTAATTAATTTTTATTTTTAAAGCCGTGGTGCCATTTTCATCGGTTTGTTTTAAATTTATCGAACAGTTTTAGTAAACTTCCTGAAAATTGTTGAGATTTTTTTTCCTTTTTCCATTTTCCATTGACTAAAAATAATTGCTGACCGTCAGTTGTTAACTACTTCGAAAATTGTTGAGAGAGAAAAAGTTCATGAGAAGAACATCGACCACGTTTCACAGTAGTATTACTGCCTCACTGGCATGTATACGTAACTTCCCACGGTGAGGTCACCGTAACTTTAGAGAAAAATAATAGTAATAAAAATTGTTGGGCGAAGGGAAGGGAACGTGGTAATAAGATTAAGTGAAGGATGAGATAAGTAATAAAATCCGGGGAAATGACGTGGATCTGTTGAAGTGATATTGACCACTCATGTAACACCGGGTGGAGCCCACCTGTCCCCCTCGTGGCTGCTTCTCGAAGTAGAGAAGGCATTTTTTTTCCAGTGCTGTTCTGAAGACTGCTGGAAATGGGTATTAATCGGTGGGGTCCCACATCCGAGGGTCCGTGTTCGAGTTGCCTACCACTTAACGCCGCAGATGGCTCCCCAAAATCAACGTACCTGATTTCCAGATCCTCTCTTTTGATCCATGTCCCATTTCTAATTAATGAAAATTACTCCCTAACCTGCTCTTCAAACAACCCATCAGCAACGCTAACTCGCAACTTTGATTGGACGTAAAACGCTGCGCTTTGTGCTGCAAAAAGCTTATCTGGATCGTCATCTTTTGTATCCATTGTACTCTATCAAAGAAAAATAATGAAATTACAAATAAAGGCCAAGGGGATATATATTGTGGAATCGAACGGGTCAAAGACGTACCAAAACGACGTTGCATTTTTTTTTCTTTTGTTAAAATTGGGTCGCTTTCCTTTCCGTCTAAAGGAGATTTTGCAGAGATTGTGTTTTTAGTGTTTGGGGTTTTCGAGGGGATGGCTTCTGCTGTTTGTTCAATGATTTCAATCTGTGTTATCTTCTTTAACACATGATTGGACTGGATTTGTCCATTAGCCGATGTTCAAACTTTATTAGCTAATACCCATATTCCTATTCCAGTTTCAGGTTCAGCTCATGCCTTGTGTTTTAGTGATGGTGTATATTAATAACTAATAAAACTCTATATGATTAAATTAATAAGACTAATTATGTTTGATTAGTGGTAACAAAAAAACAAGTTTATGGCTTGGATATAGTTGAGTTTGTTTGAGTTGCAAGTTGATTGAGGCGGACGCTTGGAGGAGATATTTTGGGGATGGGATAAGGGCCTCAACTAACTGACACGTGGAGCGATAGCAGCGTCAGACGGTGCATCCGAAGCTAATCCCATGAACCAAGATAACGCCACGCCATTCTCCATCTCAAAGCAAACGCCCACACAGCTTCCTCACCTCAACTCATGATCATGATACCTTCTCCTCCTCCGTGATAAAGAGAACAAACCATAAATTTTTTTATTTTCTTTTTCTATGTATAAAACAAAATAATCATGATAATAATAATTATTATAAAATGCATTTTTCTTTTTCCTTTTTCTTTTCTGTCGGACAAAGTTTTGCCAGTTCTCCCTTTTTCCTTCGTCTACTTTCGTTCCGTGTACGTATTTGTCCCTCCTTGAAATATTGACCTTTGTACTGTCGCATGTAGCACAAACACACCTTTAGATACCAAATGTAATTATCTCTCTATCTTATTCTATTTTCCTTTTTTACCGTGGGAAAATCGAAACATATTTGATATAAGGTTTAAAAAAACGTACGGCTGGAGATTTGAATGGTGGGGGAGGGTAGTACGATATTCAATTTATATCATTGCTATGAAACAGTTATGTGTACGTACGTATGAACAATATTGGACATATATATATTTTAATTATTTTTAGAAATGGGTGGGGGAGAAAAAAGATTGAATTTTACTCCATATTAAATAGCAAGGGTAAGCAAAGGCAAGTACTTGGACACGTAAAAGGCAAAAGCAACGCCCCCACCAGCCCGTCACGTGATAGCTTTGTCCAGCAATCTGTATGGTAAAGTAAGCAACAAGACTCACTCACACGCTAACCACTGTACGTGCGAGTGGGGGATGGGATGCCCTAATTCAACCCTTACCCTAAACCCACTCGGACGTTGCCCTTTTGGGTTTGGCTTCCCCAAGTTTTGAGTGCATTTTAAGTGTTTTAATTCTACTACACATGCCAAATTGCCAGTACGACATGTCGTAATTGCAAATATAATTCTTTCTTCTTTACGTTAACACCGGTGACTGACCGTTTGTTTTGTTAAGAAAGGTAAAGCCAAAGCCAAAGCCAAAGCCAAAGCCAACTGGGTTTTGTTTGGTAATGATGATAGAGAAGAAGATGATGGGCTATCATGCAATCCACATGCATGGGGAGCCTCGGCCTGAGATCGCCGTTGATACGTTTGACTATTTTTTTGAGGTGGGACCTCCTCCGAATCTGACTTCTACTCCACATCAGCCTTCCTGTATTTTTAAATTTTGTTGTGGGGGACAGGATTTTTTTGTTGAAACGGGGCAGTTACGTGGGGTCCAGTTTTGTTAGGCGGGTTACGGACACCTCAGCTCAGTTGTTCCCCGCTTCTCTCATCTGTGATATTGACACGTGGCAACATCATAGCGACGCCCGTTTGATTGGTGGCACAATATCTTGTGGCCACGCTAGCCGAACCAACGGCGGAGGATGCATGAAGTGTCCTGATCTTGATCAATGGCGTAACGGACATGATTTCCATACGATGCACCTCCACTTTTTTGTTCTTCCCTCGGCTGCCGGGACTTTTGGGAAATTATCGTTGAATATGAAGGATTTTAGAAAAATTTAATTGTTTGAAAACTTTTGGAAAGAAAAATAAAAAAGGAAAAAGGAATATATGGTAGATTTCTACTTGATAAGAATCGTCTCGTGACGGGTAGGTTTGGGGTTCAACTTTGAACCTGTTTCTTTCTTCTAGACAAGAATTGAATAAAAGTTGGAAAGAGACTGCCGAGTTGATTTTTCCCCTCTTCCTTTGTAGGAGCAAATTTATATTTTTTAAAAAACTTTGCTGAATCTTATGTCCATTATTTTTAAAAGTAAAGATTATGATAATTGTGTATTTGATTTTATGTAAAATTGCCTCCTTCGGTTACTTCCCTCTGTAAATAAAATTCACAATATACTTTATTTGTAACGTATTTTTATATGACAAGTTTTTTTTTTCTTTTTTGTCTTTTATACCAATTTTATTAATATTGTTCTTTTTAGTTACAACAGAGGTAGGATGTGAAGAACTGAGTAAGATATTTTTATCGTTAAATTATGTTTATATTTGATGTTAATATTAATATTATAATCATATTATAAAAAATGTATATGTATTCGTGTCGAACATTTAATAAATTTGGCAATAATTATGATCTGAATAAATGAATAATGGAGGACACTTAATTTTTAAACTACATGTGGAAGACTCATTCTGGGTTCCTTTTGAAGGGTGTCAAATTAAGTGCAAAGCAAGAGAAGTGGTGAGTGGTTGTGGAAATTTAATTTGTGCATCGAAATCAAAACCAAGAAGAAAAGAGGAAGCAAACGAATGGAGTACCTTAAAAGGTTGTCCAGTGTCTGCAGGTGATAATAATTCTCACAGATGAACCAAAAACTTAGAAATTTTTTTATTATTTATTATTTTTCGAAGACAAGGTTGTTTAAACTAAAATAATATCAAATCTCACATTCTTCATTCCTTATTATTATTACTATTGGATTCAGGACATAAAAAAATATCCAACTTAAAAAAAAAACGAAATGATGGATTTGGGTTGAATTATTTAATTAAAAGTTAAAACCCCAACTTAAGAAGAGAATTTGATGGAGCAACGGCGTGGGAAGATGTTGCTTAACGTATTAGCCAAAAACTTCTTAACCTTTGCTTTAGGGTGCCCCGTGCCCGTGCCCGATGTCCGAAACCCACCCACGAGCCTGCGCACGTGACCCCCATCCCACCCTCGACTCTGCTCCAAGCACTATATGTATGTATATTCATTATTATTTCCTTGTTTAACTTGTGTCTAAATTAATTCTTTCCCTTTCTTAATTAAAACGCCTCAGATTAATATATCTTTAAAAAAAAATTCAGAGAAATTCTTAAATTGATGTAACTAACATGACTTTAACGTAACAAGTAAGAGTTTTTCTTGCCAAAACGAACATAGTTCAACAGTAATGACATATATCTGCAATCAAAAAATTGTGAGTTTGATCTCACCGTTACATGTTATACTAAGAAAAATAATAATAATGATTCTTCTTTGCTTTATTATAAATTTATAGCTCGTTGGTGAGTTTCTATCAATTTTAGACTAGAGTGAAGTAATCAATAATGTTTCGATGGTTATCCGTTTAGTCCCAATTTTAAAGAGTTTAAATTTATTCTCTTGTATTTTAATATTTTTCAATTATATCATTTTCGTTGGTGAAGGTTAAAATAGAGTTGATAAACAAAATAATGTGACATAATGATATTAGCGAGTTTAAAAAATCTAGAGAA